GTGTGTGCTGTCTACTTAGTAATAAGAGAACCCTAGCAACAGAATGCCACTAGAAAGCGATACTATTAAAGCCCAAGTGCTAGAACAAAGGCAAGAGAGCCTAGGCCCAGAGGCTCAGATCGACAGGGAAATGGACAGAGAGGACCCCTACCCAGCCACTCCTACCCAACAACCAGCCAGCCAAGAGAGCGTCTTTGAAATCCCAATCCTACCACCAAAAAAGCGCCAAGCCAACTTCTCGCCAGAGGCTGCCTATAGAGGCAGAAACCCCTTCTAGAACTCCTCTACCCCAAAACCAACTGCCAAGAACTTGGAGCAGGCCATCTACTAGGCGAGAGACCTGATTCTCTAAGCGTCAGCTATGGCTAAATCTCATGTGGCCTAAGATAAGCTCCTAGAGTTACTAGACGTCTTTAGAGACTACACTAAGAAAGGTAGAGTAGTAAACTAGTTTGCTAACAAACTGTCTGCTAAACTTGCCTATCACTTAGCTACTCTTGCAAACGCCTCCTAATAGGCAACAAAAATAGTAAAGAAGGCTACAACTGTAGCTATAATAGTAGCTCCTACTCCTTCCTAACCAACTTAAAAGCCCTAGGCCTTATACGCTACAATCGCAGCTAAGAACATAACAAGCCAGCCCTGGATAACAGTACAGCTAAGGAAGAAAGCTAACCTAAAGAAGCTAGCCGCTTATTACTATATGCTTCTAACGCTAGAAGAAGGCTAGTTAACTAGCCCGCTAATAGTTAGGAATAAAATTAATTAAGCTTTCTAGAAGGCAGGCATAACAGCCCTTGTTATTAAAGAGGTGTTAGTTAGCAGAAAGAACAACCTTATTATTACAACAACTAAAGGATACTCTAGCAAATTTCTACTATAGCAAATTAACACCTAGTAAAACTAACTTTAAGTTAAAAAGGCCTAACTAATTAAAGCCTGGACTAAGGTAGTAGTCTATAGAGTGCTAACAACGTTTGAAGGAGCTGAATCGCTCTAGGTCCTCCACAACGAGATCCTAACCTACAACAAAGGACAAACTATTATTGGCAACCCCTACTAGTTAACAAAGAACTAGAAGAGCAAGCAGACTAGCTCTATAGTAGTTGCCTTTAAGATAGAAGAGGAAGCTAAGAAGATAGGCAGTAGGATTACAATCCTGGGCCAGTCTCTCTAAACTAAGAAATACAGGTCTACGCCACCTACAACGTAGTGCTCTAACTGCCAAGCCTTTAGCTATAACGCAAGTAGGTGCTAAAACTAAGCAGCATGCTAGCTGTGCGTAGAAAGCCACACAACTGCTTAGCACAACTGCTCAAGCTATAGCATAAAAGGAAAGCCATATAGACACACTCTCCCTAAGTGCTATAACTGCAAAAAGCCCTACTTCGCTAATAGCAAAGACTGCGAGATCCTTCTAGCTATAACAAAGAGAGGCCCTTAGCAGCTATCTCTATGTTAGAGAACATTAAGATTCTACAAGTGAACCTAAACAAGAGCCTACACGCTACAGAGTTAACGCTACAACTAGTAGTTAAGCTTAAAGTTGATATTATTGCAGTCTAAAAGCCATAGATTGCCCTATTAAGCAACAACAACTACTTAGCAGCTAGGTTAGTTGCCTACTAAGCATTTACCCAGCTGCTCCCACTAGCAGATAACAGTCTCCGCCCAAGGGTTCTATTTTATATATTGAGAACAGCAAAGGCAGAGACATCTCTACTAGAGGGACTAGCAGCTGACCTAGACGCTATAGCAGTAGTTGTTAAAGGGCAGAGCTTTAAGTTTAATATTGTAAACGTGTACAACAAAAAAAGTCTACTAGGGACTAAGACGTTCCTAAGAGTCCTTCTAAGCACTAGGCTACTAGCAGCAATAGTACTAGCTATTAACGCTAATAAGTATCACCTCTAGTGGGATCCGCTATACCTAACTACTAGCTAAGGCGCTTAAGAGCTAGCCGACTGGATAGAGGACTAAAACCTAAGCCTACTCAACACCCTAGGTGCTAGGACCTTCTTTAGGCCGCACCTATTAAGAGAGCTAGTATTAGACCTATCACTTGCCACGCTAGACATAGCTAATAAAGTTAAAGACTGGCAAGTTATAACAGAAACTAGCTTAGACCACTACAGACTGCTCTTCTCTATCTAACAAACGCTGTCTAGCGAGCATAAATACTCTTCTTCCCCTACCTACTGCTTGTTTCCTCTATCCCTTTAGCTTTAACTTTTCTCTTATTATAGTCACTTCCTTATTATTATTATTATTATTATTATTATTATTCCATTAGAGTCTATCTGCAGTTAGTGACTATGTAAGACTTTGGCCAGAGGCCGTTCTAGGTACAATTTGTTTAAAGTGAGAGTGTTCTCTGTATAGTACTACTATTGTGCTATAGTTTAGTCGCTTCTAGCTGCGCTTAAAGCAGACTCTAGTTGCTGAGGAGCAGTTTAGTAAACGGGAAGAGATGTTAGACAGCAGGGCTGTCTTCTAGCGAGCTCTTCAGGGCTAAGGAAAGTAACTTAAGAAAGTTTGTTAGTTATTATTAGTTTTAGGTAGTGTCTCTCTGTTCTCGCTTATTTTTAGTTATCTTGTTCTTGGCCTAGATGCCAGCCTCTAGTCCCTACTCTAGTTTTAGCAATAAAAGCTAAAGTAGCCTCTCTGCCTTTGCTAGTGTAAAGGAGTAGTTGGATTGTTAGGTAGTTCTCGCGAAGAGTTGCTTTTAGCGCTTGCCTTTCTATGTTATAGTGCTAGCAGTATAGGAGAAGGTGATCTAGTGTCTGTACTCTCCCACAATTGCAGAGGTTTAAGTTTCTCTTTTTCACTCTCTCTAGATAGGCGTTAAAGTATCTGTGGCCTAGCTTAAGAGAGAAGAAGGCGCTAGAGATTTCCCTTGGTGTACCTCTTGGGATTTGGATTGCCTTAGGGTAAGTAAGGGGAAATCTAGCAGAGTAGGTATGCTTGTTTTCCTAGATGGCTCTTTCTCTATATTTATGCCACTCTTGGCTTTGATCTCTTAGCTATAGTAGTCTCGTCTCTGTGCCTAGAAAGGCGAGGCTTGCTGTTGTAGAGTTTGGCTCTTCTTTGGCTGCTTCCTTTGCTAACGCGTCTGCTCTTTCGTTTCCTTCAACTAATGTATGGCCTAGTGCCCACTAGAGATAGATGCTGGCCTTCTTAGATTAAATAGTCTTGGCTGCTTTTAGGCATTAAATTAACTATTGTTGGCCTAGGCTATCTAATAGGCTGCTAAGCCTATATATTGCTGCCTAGTTGTCTGCGTAGATGTGGATCTTTTAGTCTGTTCTAGCGTTTCTAGCAGCGTATTTAAACGCTCTTGTAATCCCCTCTAGCTCTCTATTGTAGACTAGTTGGAGATCTCTAATGTTCTTCTTCTTAGCGTAGAGCTCTTCTTAGGCTGAGTTGTAAGCTACTACGCCTACTCCTATGCCTTTTCCCTCTTTAATCTTAGAGGCGTTAGAGTAGATTGCTATAAAGTTATCTCCTATCCTTAATTAGATGTAGGCTGTGTGTGCAGTTGCCTCTTCTTCTTTTGTCTTTCTAGAGATTGTAACCTTGTAGTTAAGACTATCCTATAGCCTAAACTTGTATGGGATTATCTTCTCTATCTCTCTATTGTAGGTAGTTAGGATTGAGTTAGTAATCTAGAGTAACTGTCTATGTGGTTCTAGCTTTTTAGTTTGCTAGGGGTCTGTTGCTTAAAGCCTAGCAATAGCTATTGCGATTAGGTAGGTTTTAGCTAGCTAAGCTGCTCTTGTTGCGTAGTTTCTTAGCGTAGCGTTTAGCTGTATCGCTAGTAATAGTAGGCTTGCTTTAACACTTGTAGGTATTAATAGAGTAGTTCTAAAGACTCCTAGCACCTTTCTACACGCGAGATTATAGAGTGGTTGGAGTAGCTTTGTTGCGTAGCTTTGTGAGTGCTAGTATACTAGTGCTCCGTAGTCTGCAACGCTAGTAACGCATGCTAAGTAGAGCTGCCTAATGGCGTAGGGAGAGAGGCCTGTCTCTATATTTGCTAGTCTCCCTATCCTCTAGAAGGCGGCTTTAGCTTGGCTGGCACGCACTGCTATGTGTTCTCTAAAGGATAGCCGGTAGTCGAGGTAGATGCCTAGCTATTTTACTGTGTCTTTTGGCTCCACTATAGTGTTATTTAGTAGCCTAAGGGCTATTTCTTTTCTCTTCTTCTTAGCAGCAAAGTGGATAAACTCTGTTTTTGCCGCATCAAACTTAATTGCTAACTCTTTGCCTTTAGCAAATAGTTTTTAAATTTCTCTCTCTAGTACTTTAGCGTTCTTCTTTAGTGAAGTAAAGGAAGCTGTAATAGAGAGATCGTCGATGTATGATAGCTAGAAGTTCTAGACTTCTAGGAAGAGGTCTCTAATATAGATAAGAAAGAAGATTGGTGAGACTAGGCTGCCTTGTGGGATGCTAGCGTTAATACTACTAAATTCTTCCATCTTTCTATCAAAGGCGAGTCTTAGAGACCTCTCCAAGAGAAAGAATTTGGCCTAGGCAATTAGGCTAATTAGGAGGCCTAGCTTTCTTAGCGTTTAGAGGAATTAGTTATAAGATACGTAGTTAAAAGCTCCTTTAACGTCTAAGAAGACTATAGAGGTAATGTATTCTTGCTACCTCTAGTGCTAGACTTAGTCTACTAGTAGTAGGGCTGCGTCTATTGCTAACTTCTTTAGCCTGCCTTCTATCTACGAATTGTAGAGTAGGTTTATAACTTCTACTAGGCAGCTTAGCTATTTAGCTATAATTCTCTCTATAACTTTTCCTAGGCCGCTTAAGAGTGTGATAACTCTATAGGCCTTTAGGAGAGAATAGTCTAGCTTAGACAGTTTCTTAAGTATTGCCCTTATAGCTCTTTTTTAGCAGGTTAGATAGTATCTATAGTTAAATAGTAGAGAGTAAGCTTTAAATAGCGTCTTTAGTTGGGCTTAAAAGGCGGCAGTAATAATGTCTTAAGTAATAGCATCTAGGCCTAGTGTACTACTTTTAACTTTGCTAGAACAGGCCTATTCTAGTTTAGTTATTAATAGTATTAGCCACTCCCACTTTCCTTCACTGTAGCTCGAGAAGCTAGGCGGCTAGGTAGTTAGAGGCGGAGGGAAAAGCGCCTTTCTAAAGGCTCTGCACTTTCCTTTAAACGTAGTCTCTAGAGCCTCTTCTTGTATAGGAGGTATTCTCTCTACTCGCTGCTCCTTTATATATGCCATTGCTTTAAAGATAGACTGTGGGTCTTCTCTCTCTGGAAAATCGTTCTAGTGTTTCTTTTTTGCCTCTTTAATAGCCCTTTAGTAGGTG